GAGAGAACATCTGTTACATGGTAGTATGAAGGAACAATAGTGACACATAAATGTTTTCGTATTGAAATGTCAATCAACAATTTTTATAGATGCATTAATGCCAGCTAGATATGTGTGTTGTATGACACATTCCAGGTGAGACAGGAACAAACATCTACTCACCCCAGATAAGGAACCAATAACAGACCAAAGTAAGACTATCACCGAAGTCCAACCAATGAGTCATACTGGCGTTAATTACAGGAGAATAGGTGAGAGGTTACTTACAGGAGCAGAAATGTCTCAAAGACAGCTGCATCACCCCAGCATGGGTTATGACTCCCCAAAGTTAGAAACCTGGAGCTCACTGCAGAATTTGCAGCCAACTCAACAACTTGGAGAGCATCTCTTCTGGGTCGCTTAGTCGGTCTGAGCCTCTTCCAGGCAACTGGACATGTGGCAGTTGTGGTCTGAGCGTATTCTAGGTGGCTCAGCTTTTCTGAAAATCTTGTAGGTAGCTCAATTTATCTCATGGCTTGTCTCAGACTGTCTCTCAGTGGTCCTTACTGTTGATATATGCTTGGAGAAGGAGGAACCTAATAGATTTGGTCAGTTTCAGGGACTTCCTGAAGCTTTTGAGTCCTGTACTTCCTGAGCTTAAGGAGTTTTCTGACAGGGTAGACTGTTTTATCTCTCATTAGAACATCCTGGTCTTAACAAGCTTCCTTGCAGGATGAATTGTTTCACCTCCATTTAGAATACCCTGTATCTTAATCAGCTTCCTTCTAAGATGGAAGGTTTTATCTTGGAGGAAATTGCTACACATCAATGTAAGTATATATAATCAAAGGGCTGAAATATTAAAAGAAATATAAGAAGTTGTTAACAATGGTTATTACTTTATTAGACATTTCTTGCATTAAAACAACCCATGGGGGACTGAAGTGATGACTCAGCACTTAAGAGCATTTGCTGTTCTTTCAGAGGACATGGTTTGGTTCCCAGAACTGACATGGAGACTAGCAACCATTGATAATTCCAGTTCCAGGGACTCTGACACCCTCTTCTGGCTTCCACAGGCATTGCATACATGGGTGCACTTAGATACCTGCTGGCAAAACAATCATACACATAAAATAATAGTAATGAACACTTGTACATATAAAATAATAGTAATGAATAAAATGGGTTGAAAACAACCCACTGTATTTTAACCTAGCTGTATAATTGAGTAATAAATAAACATTATAAGAAAAATCAGAAACACTATCATAGAAACAAGAAATTTTTAATAAAATAGAAGATTTACTATAAAAGGTTACAGAAATTCTGGTATATTTATAGACTTTACTATGCCTAGTAGTATATATTGAAAGCACATGAATATAAAATTGGTTCATACACACTTCCAATGAATACTAATGACTAACGCTCTCCATTCAAATTTAATGCGTGGTTAAGACTTGCCTCATGCAGGAAACATGATCGAGGGAGAGATATATCGGCCACTTTTCTGACTCAGCCAAAAGAAATTCCATGTGTTCCTTCCCTATCAAAATAACTGCCATGTGTCACCTTGTGTGTCATAGAGATATTAATCTCACTGACTACTTTTTGAAGAGCAGTGTAGAGATTACTAAAGGTACCATTTCATTTTCATTTTTAAAGGAAAATGTGCACATGACATATGATCAAAACCTATTTTTCCATTCTCTCAAATGAGCAATCCTGGCCTTTAACTCCCATTCACTCTTCTTAAGCAGAATCAAATCTCTTGAGCATCATGATCAACAGTAAGCATCATTTAAAACTTCAGAATGGGCTACTTTGGACTCCATTGCCTGATTTGGGAAAAAAATTACCTTGTAATTTGCTTGTGGTATGAGTCAATAGAATTATAAACTCAGCAATTCAATTCTGAGTTTAACATTTACTAAGATTCCTGAAACATCTTTATACAGATGCACTTCCAGCTGCTTGCTTAGGTAGCTTGTTCACATACTCAGGAAAAAATTCACCTAATGTACACAGAAGTCTCTAAAAGAAACCACTTATGTAAGCCAAGTCATTCTGCACTTCGGAGTCATGTCTGAAATATGAGGAAGGCTCCAGTAGTCCTGGTCAGCCTTGGCCAAATTAGAGCACAGTAAAAATGACATACAAATTACAGTTGTTTACAATAAAGAAGGTTCTTTTCTCGTGATGTGACAACTCAGGTGGACTTCAACGCTGTTCATGCCTTTATTCTGACCATGATTCTAAAAACGCAGCTTTTTTTCTGGATGATTTCTCCCCAGGGCAAGGGGGGAGAAGAGCATGAGAATGAGAGCTTCTGCTTCTGCCTTCGCATGGCTTTCACCAACTGGTACAAACCTACTGGCCCTACAGAGGTACATGGACATGGAGGTATAAAGCTCTTAGAAGAGCAAGGAAATTTTGAGAACAAGGCTACACAGTACCACCTCGAGTGCCTACACACTGTGTATTTCACATATTACATAGAACACACTAACTTAGGAAATATAAAAACATTAATGCATAGCTGGTTTCATTAGAAAAGGACTTGGCTACATCAAGAACTATGAAACCATTAGGCCAACCAAAGGCAAAAGGAGAATAGATGCGGGTCGGTTCTGGAACAGGAATTTATAAGCATTGCAATACAAGTTTAAACTAAAGATAAACACAAATTCAGATGCTCTATACAACTTAGTACTGACGTCCATATCTTGCAGTCCCACCCACTCTACCACCTAACCCATCCAACTAGCCAGGGATCATATAATTCAATGACCTATGGGTTTTACCAGCATCTATTTATTTTGTTTGCTAGCCCATTTCTTCATTTCAAGGTCTTTATTTTCTATTCCTACTTAAGTGGCCCATCAAAATTTCTCTGAGTACCAACTGTATTGATCTCTTCCTTTTTTAGTACATACTGCTTATTTTAGTACATACTGAAGAATATTGCCTTTGAGCTTCTCGTGTTAAATCAGTAATGACTTTTTGTTTCGGTCTTTTGCTTTGCCCATACCTTTGACTGCTTCTCTAACAAGAGAGTTAATTGCCACAACTGTGCTCTCTGCTTCAGCTTCAATGTCTGTGGGGAGGCAAGGAACAACATAAATCATGTTAGCAGGAAAACAAGCTTCTTGCTTGAAATCTAAGTTACAAGATACTTCCCACTAGGTAGAACTATCTAACCTGTCTAACATGTCTAGGCTCCATGTCTATATATGCTGCACCCTCATCTGATCTGTCCTCTCAACCTACACGATTCTTCTTTTCAAACTACCCAGTGTCATGCTCTAAAGTCTGTGTATTCCTAGCATGCCATGTTTCCTGCTTTACCAGCTTTCCCCCAACTTTTCTTCATTATTATCTACCTGTATCTGTGTTTTCCTTGACTATAAACTGTTTAGTTGTCTTTCTTCCCTGTAACTTTTGATAAATCAGTAAAAACCAAGGAAGCAAGAAGCCTGCCCATCTAGTGCTTAAAAACATGACCTAATCTCTTTTCTGAAGACGAAGGAAAACAGGACTTTGCTCATCATTTATATTCCATCTAATTGTCACTACTTCTCATGACAGTTAATGATACAAGCCAAGATTTTGTTCATCAAAATCCTCTGCTATAGAAGTTGGTGGACACTTATGGTACAGACTGTGGTTAACAGTTTCACGGACAAGTACTGATCTTCAAAGTCATCAAGTTGCATATGTTAAATTACGCACTGGGTTTTATGAAAGAAAAAAATTCCATGCCAACAGAATTTGTTAAGTACTTTCTATAAGTACTTTCACATCCAGTGTGACTATACACATTTCTGTTAACGTAATGGAAAGTTACACTTTGTCATTTAGCTATTGAATGTCTCAGATACTCAAAGAGAATATCATCTCAAAGTATTAATATTCATCTCAAAGTATTCATCTCAAACCTTAAGACTACCTGAAACCTCTAAGGATTATGAGTAATGTGTTACACTTATTAGAGCAGGTCTAATCTACAATCACAAGATAGGGCCTGAATAATCAAAGTCCCTCCCACTTTGTCCTTATCTACTTACCCCAGAAAGGCAGTTCAAGACCAAAGCTGAGGATAATCATTTTTTAAAAAAATATTTTATTTATTATTTTTATGTGTATAAGTGTATTGCCTGCATGTATGTAAGTGCACCCGTGTCGTGCAATGCCCGCAAGGACAGAAGAGGCCATCAGATCCCCTGGAACTGGAGTTGTTAACTGCAATGTGGGTGCTGGGATTCAAACCTGGGTCTTCTGCAAGAACAACAAGTGTTCTTAACTGCTGAGCCATCTCTCCAGCCCAGGATAACCATCTTATTATCAAGTGTCATCTGGTGGTTATTTTGTTCAGTACAAACACTGCCTTGTGCTACATTCTGAGAAATGTCTAATATCCCTTCTCAATTCCATTCTTTACCTGGCTCTTATTTCTGGTTTATGCCATAAACTATGGAAATGATGTTTAATTTTTCATCTTCCTGTTCTCTCCTGCTGAATGGACACTGAGAAACACTCCAGATTCTTCCAGCTGATCAAACTATCACTCCTACGTGGCTTCACTGGTTTCCTCCCAACCCTGACTTGACTGCTACATTGTAAACCAATATCTCAACTACCACCTTCTTTGGTGTATGGCCTTAGATATTTATGTAATTTCATGACTAGAGTTCTTTCTGCCTGTCAAGTTTGAGCCTTTTTGTGTAGGCTTTTGTGATATCTCCTGGCCTATCTGTCATAGGCACATCTAAATTGACAACCATTTCTACTGAATGACTAAGAATAAAGGTACAATCTCACCAATGAATCCTGTTGTTAAACATCCTTCAGATGTATGGAGACTTGAGTGTGTGATATATTTACAGACATAAAATATCTACTTGTTATATATCTTGAGAGCTCTTTTCAGAGTTTTGTTTTAAATTGCATTAAATGTTGTTTAAATGTTTGGTAACTTTTAACCCATGAAAGTAAACACATTTCTCTGCTACTTTCAGATGGTCCAGTAGTCTATGCAGCATATTTGAAAATGGAGCACAGTGATGAGAATATTAAATTCTGGATGGCCTGTGAAACCTACAAAAAAATTGCTTCACGGAGGGGCAGAATTTCCAGGGCAAAGAAGCTTTATAAGATCTACATCCAGCCACAGTCCCCAAGAGAGGTAACAACAGAGGGGCATGGCAGTCAGTACATTCCTTGCAGGGCACTAATAACTCAAGCATCCATTTATGTGCCAGAAATAGTTCATTTCAGTATCTCCTAAAAATGGTATAACTTAAGAATTTCTGGGGCTGGAAAGATGGCTCAGAGATTATGAGCACTGGCTGCTCTTGCAGAAGACCCAAGTTCGATTCCCAGCACCCACATGGTAACTAACAACTGTCTGTAACTCTAGTTCCAGGGTAACTTGATGCCCTCTTCTGACCCCTGCAGACATTGCACAACACGGGTACGCTTACATACATTTCAGGCGAGATGCACATACACATAAAATAAAAATAATAAAATCTAAAAAAGAATTGCTAATCTTGTTTTTCAGACATGCGATCTGAGATTTGGGTAATTTAACTAATTTGCCCTGTGTCTTACAGTTGTTAAGTGATAACATTAGGACTCAAAGACAAGCTTTGTAATTCCAAATCCTCTAGCTATCAGCGTGTCTTAATTCCCAGGAAAGCCGGAAAAAACAAAGGGCAGTCACTGGAAGAAATGTCTCTGGCAGCATAAACTAGAAATGCTGTAAATGGGCATGAGCACCTACCCAAAGGTGTTCTTCATCTGTGCCACAGAACCTCAGCATAAACCAGCAGGTGCAACTGACATCCACGTTGTCATGACAATGGTCACAGATGCCTAACACTAAGACTCCTAATAGAGAGACAACCAAAAATGAAAATTCCTGTTAAATGAAAAGGGTAGAGGATAACGAGAATTTTTTATCACTCAACATAACCCTACATTACTGAGTAATTCCCCAAAACTGTTATCTGGAAACTTTTAGTTTACTGAAAGAACCACTTCTTCCCTCTACTCCTCCACTTCTCGCTTTCTTCCCATTTCAGGACATGTTCAGCTTACACAAGATTTTTGACTGTTAGGGAAGATAAACTTTAAAATAGTCACCAACTTCCTTTTTCTTTAAAAAGAGCCCTCCAATTTGTAAACTTCCTTGTTTGCAGAATACCACTAAGAAACCACTGACATTCCCTAAACAAGTGGTGGTTTCTCCGTGCTCCCTGTCTTGGGCCTGGTGCTTTCTTTATTACTCAGGGATTCAAAGATAGATATTTACTTTTAAAAGAGCAAATAGTTCATTTCCTATAACTCTTTTTAGATAACTGCGAAAACTGTACTGAAAAAGAAGGGCATAAATTGAAGCATTCCATTGCAGGTGTCTGTATTTGATTGGACTTGTTCATCCTCTTCTATAATTTCACTTTTCAGATAAACATCGACAGTACAACAAGAGAAGCTATCATCGGAAACATTCAAGAACCCACTCAGACCTGCTTTGAAGAGGCTCAAAAAATAGTATATATGCATATGGAAATGGATTCTTATCCCAGATTTTTAAAGTCAGAAATGTACCAGAAACTCTTGAAAACTACTCAGTCCAAAAACTCTTGATTACCACCAAAAAGTTAACTGAAGATGGTATCTTGCAAGTACTAATTCAATTTTTTCAAAAATACAAAATAAGAACCAATGTAAAAATAAAACAGAAATTAAGCCAATAACAAAGAAAAACCATTCCAGAAGTAATGTGCTCTACAATCTTCATGACATAATTTATAGCACACTTAAGTAGGTCAGTATAGAAGGAAAAGCTCTTTCTTCATTATATAAACATTATAATATTTTTCTGTAGTAGTCCACTAATGGATGCTTTCTCATTAAAGAAATTTGGCCATCATAACACACAGGTGACATCTTTTAAGGCCATAGCTCTGTGAATTATGTCCCTAACATGAATGTGTTCTGTAGATAGTGTGCTCAGAATAACTTGAATTAGTATATAAACTTGGTAGTCATAGTACAATGAATTATATCTTTAACACAAGCAGTATTGAAGTATGTTCTTGAGAGATGATTTAACTATAAAATTTTCCTGGAAGGATGTCCATAGTTGACCTTCTACATGACTTGTATCTTCTACAAAGGAAAACTCTGTGATGATACTAAGCTCGTAAAAATGTGTGAAACTTTTTCATTTATACTTGTAATGCCATAGGGGTATAAAATTTTTTTCTGTGTTCTGAAATTTATTACAATATGAACTCATCATAGTCTTATAAATCAATAAATCTAAGTATAAACAAAGATGTTGTATATGTATTTTTCAAAGACACAATAAGGATACCATTACAAAACAAATTTATAAGGGCCTAAAGTTTGTATAACAGTGAGAAAATAGAATAAAGAACAACTTGATATGTTTACTTGATGTAGCCTTACTGTCACTTTAAAATATTAACAGAATCCAGATTCATGTTCAGAGATTCAACATAATATGTATGGATATAAAATTTGATCTGTTACCTTTTATAGTTTAAAAAATAGAAACTAAATATCTTGTATTCCGATAGACACAAAAGATTAAAAATTATTCTCACTCCACCACAGAATTACTTTTTAAAAAAAATTTTATTGTGTATATGCCAAGGAGTCGTATAACTGGGTCAAATGGTAGGTTCATTTGTAGTTTTTTAAGAGTTCTCCACACTGCTTTCCATAGGAGTTGATCCAGTTTGCAGCCCCACCAGCAGTGGATGAGTGTTCCCCTTTCCCCACATCCTCTCCAACATTTTGTATCATTTGTTCTCTTGATCTTAGCCAGTCTGACTGGGGTAAGATGAAGTCTTAAAGTGGTTTTAATTTGCATTTCCCTGATTATTAGTGATGTTGAACATCTTTTGAGATGTTTCATAGCCATCTTTACTTCTTCTTTTGAGAACTCTCTGTTCAGCTCCTTAGCCTATCTTTTAATTAGGTTGCTTCTTGTCTTGATTCTCTGTTTTTTGAGTTCGTTATATACATTCTGGATATTAAACCTCTGTCGGATGTGTCGCTGGTGAAGATTTTCTCCTATTCTGTGAGTTTTCTTTTCGCTTCCCTGGTTGCCTCCTTTGATGTGCAGAAGCCTTTTAGTTTAATGAGGTCCCATTTGTTAATTCTTGCCCTTGTTTCCTGAGCAATTGATCTCCAGTTTAGAAAATCCTTTCCTACACCTACATCTTGTAGGTTTTTCCCAATGTTTTCTTCTAACAGTTTCAGAGTTTCAGGCTTTACACTGAGGTCTTTGAGCCATTTGGAATTGACTTTTGTGCAAGGTGAAAGATGGGGGTTTAGTTTCATTCTTCTACAAGTGGAGATCCA